TCTGTAAACCGCTTAGAGAGGGCTGAAAGCCCTATGAAGCGGTATATAAGTCTAACTGCTATTGCTTTGGCATTTAGTCATGCCGGCCACATGACCATGGAAACATCTTCGGACAGTGCTGGCTCTTTGGCTTTGAAACAGAGATGGGCACCGCCCCCTAGAGTCAGGAAGGACTAGCACATATGTGTGAGGAGAACCTTTACCTATAGGGCTAGGAGTGAAGAGAAGGACTAGGAGTGACATGATAGCAGTCTTCCAGTACTTGAGAGGCTGCATAGAAAAGAGGGGATTGGCCTATTCTCCAAAGCAGGGGTCTCCAACCTTGACAACTTTAAACCTGGCTGGGGAATTATGGGAGTTTGTAGTCTGCCATGCTTAAAGTTGCCAAGGTTGGAGACCCCTGCTCTAAAGCACCTGAGGGCAGGACAAGATATAATGGATGGCAGTTTATCAAAACAGAGATCCAACCTAGGAGAAATTTCCTGACAGGGAGAATAATCGATTGCGGGACATCGTGCCTCCAGAGGTTGTGGGTGCTCCATCATTGGAGGTTTCTAAGAAGCGATTGGACAGCCATTTGTCCGAAATGGTATACGGTCTCCTGCTCGAACAGGGGATTGGACTAGAAGACCTCCAAAGTCCCTCCCAACTGTGTTATTCCATATTCTATGGTCTGAGCAATATTCCCTTGGACAGCCTTCTGAAAGGAAATATTTACAGCCCTTTTTATGATCCTTTGAACGATAAATGCATGGTGCTTTGAATCAATAAAGCAATCATTATTCATGTGCATACATATTTTTTTCTGAATTGCCTTGTTTGGTGACTTGACATACTGCAGCAGTGGTGGGTTGCTCTTACCGTTGCTACCGGTACGCTGATCGCGGTCTGTTCGTGCATGCGCCGGACATGTGTAATCCACCGCCCTGACGACAATCAGCTGCTTGTTGGGACTTGTGCAGGCACCGCATGCTGTGCGCACATGCGCCCTTTGCCCTCTGCCCTAAAAACAGCAATAGAGCGTGGGCGGGCAGGTGGGCCAAACGAGCCACTATACCGGTACGTTCTCCGCTGCTCCCGGCCGCTACCGGTACGGCCTTACTGGGTCGTACCCGCAGCAACCCACTTCCGTACTGCAAGGGTATACAGATGTCTCTGAGAGTATTTTGACTGACCTGCCTCTGACCGTGGAACCAATTGACCCAGATGGTTGGGGGCTCCCTTCACTGGATGTTTCCAAACAGTGGCTGGATGGTCACTTATCAGGAGTGCTTTAATCTTAACTTAGTTGAATCTTGCTGGGTGATGTAATCTCCCCAGGTGCCTTGTGATGAGTTCTGTTGCTAATGGGTAGAAGGCTAATCCTACCTTTGTTGACTCTGTGCCAAGTCTTTCTTTGCACAGCACTGTGTTTGGAAAATATTTACCTGGCAGCTTTTCAAGCCAGATAAGGTCTGTGGTCATAAATTCACCTTTGAAAGACTGTTTGCCAGGCCTTTGGTGAAGGTGAATGAGAGGAATTCACATTCGTTTAATAAAAGGGTTTTTTTGTCAGGACCAGGAATCTGCTTTATGTTTTTTGGGGAAGCCTCGGTCAGAACAAATAGTTGCTGTCAAACATTAGTGAACACCGGCACAAAAATGTTGTGTGTCACCTTTGACCTGGGCGCCCTAGGTTCACCATCACTGCCCTAGGCCAGGGGTCGGCAACCTTAAACACTCAAAGAGTCACAAAGGTCCTAACCGGAAGCCCCCCATTCAATTCTGTAGCCAAACGGAAGTCTGGTTCCCCACCATAGAGTCCCCTCCTAGTGCTATGTCCTTTTTCATCTGCTGACCGGAAGTCCAGTTCCCCCACCATAGAGTGTCCTCCTAGCACAGCATCCTTTTACCAACTGGCAACAGGGAGCCAAAGCAGAGGGATGGAAGAGCCACATGTAGCTCCAGAGCCACAGGTGGCTGACCCCAGCCCTAGGCATATATTGCCTCTTCAATATATTGAATGGTGGAAAGTAAACTGCACTACGGACCTCACATTAAGAGTCCTTGTTCCGTGAAACAATCCGCATTCCTGGAATCCCTCCTTTGAGCTTGTTGCCTGTGTAAAGTGGCCGACACAACACACCCTTGACTTTAAAAGCACCGTTTTCATTTGTCTGACTTTGATCGTCTTGTATTTTATGCAGTGGAAGAATCGGATATCATCGACCTCGAGAAACGCTATTGGCTCCTGAAAGCTCAATCGAGAACGGGCCGCTTTGATCTGGAAACGTTTGGCCTCCTGGTTTCCCCTCCGATCCATCCATCCCTGAGCGAAGGTAGGTACATTTCGTTGATGATCTTATCTGTCCTTGGTTTTCTTTCAACACAAATAGTCCTTGACATACAATCACAATGGAGGCCAAAATGTCTTTTGCAAAATGAAAAAGTGGTCAGCTGAGTTTTGCCCCCATTTCATAACCTGTCTTAGAAAGGTTTAGAATAACTTTGTTGTGCCTTTGACAACAATTGGCATACATTAAAATGAAATTTCATTGCTTACAATGAAAAGTGTCACCACCTCCAGTATACACTACATAAACATGACAGAATGAATGAATGAATGAATTCAAAATTATGCCTATAACCACTTATTTTACATGACACAGTGAAACAACACAGTGCAGTTCGGATGTATACATGTACATGGCAAGAAAAACTACCATATTTTTGGAGTATAAGATGCACCAAGTTTTTGAAGAGGCAAATTTTTTAAAAAAAGGTTTTTGCACTCTGCAAACCTCCCAAAAACAGCCTGTTTCCCACCCCCCAAAAGGCTTGAATAGCCTTTAGGGGGCTTGTAGAGTGCTCCTGGGAGGTGGCCCCCCCCAAATGAGCAAAAAACAGCCTGTTTTTAGCAAAAACAGCCCCTTTTCTTGTCAAAAAAAATTGCATGCATAACCTTTAGGAGGCTTATAGAGTACTCCTGGGGGCTTGGGGGGGGGGAATTGAGCAAAAAATGGCTCATTTTTCACTCATTTCTGCCCTCCCCAGCCCCCAGGAGCTCTCTGAAAGCCTTCTAAAGGCTATGCACAGCCATTTTGGTGAAGGGGATGGGGTTTCGTGAGGCAAAAAATCCTGTATTCAGTGTATAAGATGCACCCAGATTTTCAGCCTCTTTTTTGAGGGAAAAAGGTGCATCTTATACTCCGAAAAATACAATACATGGCAAGAAAAACTAATCTTGAAAGTTTACCAGATGGATGGCATCGGGAACAAAGCAGTGGTGGGCTGCTGCCAGTTCGGACCGGTTCAGGCTAACTGGCTGGACTCGCTCTGACGCTATCCTGTCCTACATATTTCACTCCCTGGCTCGCTTTTCCTACCCTCACAGCCCAGGAGGTTTCCCACTTTACTCACCACAGCTGCCCGAGAAGCAGGAAATCTCCGTGTGATGCCGTGTGCGCCAGCAAAGCAAGATTGCACACACGCACGCTCACATTTTCGGTTCCCTAGTTGAACCGGTTGTTAAATCATGTAAAGCCCACCTTTGGAACAAAGCTGTTACAGAATCTGGTAGTCCTGCTAGAAATACTTGGAAACCTCCTCCTAGAGGGCAGGAACAGTTGTTAAGCGAATCACGGCAGTTGTTCAGTTAGTAACCCGGTTGTTAAGTGAATCTGGCTTCCCCGTTGACTTGGCTTGTCAGAAGGTCGCAAAAGGGGATCATATGGATGCCGCAAGCATCATAAATGTGAGTCAGTTGCCAAGTGTGAAAACGGTCGTAAGTCGCTTTTTTCAGTGCCGTGGTAACTTCGAACAGTCACTACATGAACTGTTGTAAGTCGAGGACTTCCTGTATTTAGTGAGATTGTATACGTTTCACTGCTGGCTTTGGCAGTCCCAATGCGCATGCTCCTTGGTCCCACCTCAGAAGCTCTCTCTGTACAGGCCATAAATAGTGAACTTGAAACAACTGCATTAAAAGTTTTCATAAACTCCTAAAGGATTTTAGGACAGTTTGCCCAGTACAAAAGCAAGCAATGAAAAGATCGGTGCTTAATAGGAGGCAAATCTTGAGCATCTTCCTGTAATCCCTTCTAGATTTGCCTGTTATGAATTCTGGGAATTGTAGTTGTAACCCATCTAAAGGTAAAGATTCCCTTCGCACATATATGCTAGTCATTCCCGACTCTAGGGGGGCGGTGTTCATCTCCATTTCAAAGCTGAAGAGCCAGTGGTGTCCAAAGACTTCTCTGTGGTCATGTGGCCAACGACTAAACGCCAAAGGCACATGAAATGCTGTTCCCTTCCCACCAAAGGAAGGGAACAGCCCTTCCCTTTTTCTACTTGCATTTTTTAACCTGCTTTCGAACGGCTGTGTTGACAGAAGCTGGGACTAGTAACCGAAGCTCACTCCGTTACGCGGCGCTAGGGATTCGAACCCATCTGGAGGCTGCCAAATTGAACCCTGTTCTTTCCCCCCTTGGTGAGGATAAAGGAGGCAACCATAACAGAAATAGGCGAGAACTGTTCTTAGGGTTGGGGTTGTAACTTTGAACAGTTGCTAAATGAATGTAAGTTGAGGACTACCTGTAAATCTCAGCTCATGAAAACCCTGATTTGATTGAACATCTGAGCGCTGCCTATAACTGAAACAAACCCAGCCTGCTGCTTTGGGACCCTTTGCAGGCCTGTTTAACGCCTTTGATGAAAACCGCGACAATCACATCGACTTCAAGGAAATCTCGTGCGGACTCTCGGCGTGCTGCAGGGGGCCACTGGCGGAACGGCAGAAGTGTGAGTATGGCTAGGAGGCTTCCCAGGCTCCCCTTCAGGGATTGCAGTCGCTCCCAGGTTCCGCTTAGCATCCCTCACTCACACCGTCTCAGCCCTGGAAAATGGCCACACAGATCACTTTCACGCATACACAGCTGGGGTCTTTAGGTCTTTTCTTTAGGTGTTTAGGTCTTTAGGTCTTTATTGACATTTATAGGCCGCCCTTTTCCCTGAGGGGACTCAGGGCGGCTTACAATCAATGGGAAGGGGGTGTAGGACAAAACACAAGAAAGAAAAAATGTGAATAAAAAAATAAACCGATAAAACACAACATTCATTCAGCATTCGGGTGGGGC